ATGCCTGTCATCCTCTAGACATACCACATGGCGTGTCATGGATGGGTGTTAAAGGAGAATGTGACACACTATGCCCTCCATAACATGATGTCAACATGTCAAACCACGTTAGCATTTCCATGCCACCTCACATGCCACATCAGCAACTATGTTGATCAACTCTGTGAAGGATAATTTCGAAAAGAAAATATTAGAGAGACTAAATTGAAGCAATTCACAGAATTAAAGAACTAAAATTATTGTAATTTTGAGTAGACGAAATAAATTAAGAAAATGCATGAGTATAAAGATTGCTAAGGTATTTTGTCCATAAATAATTTTCATTGTCACATTCAACTCATGTAATTATAATTTTCATTCCTATTAGACTTTAAAACAAATATTTTTCTTAAAAAAATGATAATATATAATATTATTATAGTAGCATAATTTTAAAACACTTTTTAAAAAACATGTTAGTCGAATTTCTTGATTCTAACAATCTTATGAAATCATTTGAATGTTTTTTTTAATAGAGAATGGTGAATCCTTTATAGAGCATCCAACATAACTTATTTAGCATGTACATAACCTAACGTATTAGGGTATAGTATTTAAATTCAGCATCACACATCGCAAACATCAAAGTCATATAGATAATAAATTATATTGATCTTTCAAGTCTAAAGACAATTAATAAATTGTAATGGAGCTCTTTTTAATTATTGACGTGACAAACTTATATGGAGCTCTTTAATTGAATCCTATTCGATGTATGCATTTCATACACTGCATCCACTTGTTTGCTTTAAGACCATTACCTCCAATGCTAGAATTAAGACATTCTATCCTTTTTGATAGATGCATAATACGTGTAGGCTTTAAATAATTAGTCACATTTAACTTAAAACAATTTTGACAAACAAAGAACGGAAGAATTATAACTCTTTTGCTTAATAGTTCATCAACTATTAGCATAATTTTTTTATAATGTTATCAATAATTTATGATTATATCATATCTGTTATAGATAAATAAAATATCTATTAAAATATATAATCTATATATATAAAAACAATCATTGATGTAGCAATTTTTATATCTAATAAATAAATAATAAAACTGATTTTTAAGAACATGTATCCAACAATTACATCCTCCCACCATCTTGAAATTTAATTTACCTTTATTTTTGAATAAATAAGGATATTTTTTCTTTATATCTTCTTTGTATTTCGCAAGTTATTTCCCTGGTGTATGATTGGTGAATTGGACTTTTGCAAAAGATATAGTTGGACGCCTTCAAAACTTGTTCTTTACGATCAACCATTAAAACTGGATATTTGGAATATATTAAATCTTCTTAACCTTGTAAAGATTCATATGCCACCGCATGGTTAATATTTGGTGGTAAACCTAAGAAACTATTTAATATAGATCCAACTGCTTATAAAATAAATGAATAAATTACCTATTTATCACACTTTAAGTTCTATAAATAAACTGATTCAAATGTCATTTGGATTACTTATTTAATGATCATGAAGGATTCATTATTGGAGCACAAATCAGTGGACAAATTAACACTCAAAACGACAAAGTTCATCAGCGAGGAAACCTACAATTCATTGATGACATTGAAATACCATACAATCTACAACATGATCTCCTCCATATTATGTAACCACTATAAACAAAAATAGCAAATCTCTTTTTTTTGGGTTATTTGGCTTTGCTTTCAGAATTATTTCTATGATTTGAGAAAATACATTACCACTAGTATAAAATGAAAGAGGTGACGTCGGCTGTGCTTACAAGGAACGTGTTGCTCAACAGGTGTGGGCATTCTTTAATTATTGGGCATATGCATGGTCATGATTATGCCAATTCATTACTCTCTGTTGGCACAGGGAAGCATAATTATGTGAGATCTATCTTGAAGGAACTTTACTTAAATGAATTTTGAGTTGAATATAAAAATTGTCTTGATGCATGGTTTCTGTATTTGTATTTGTAAATGAAGTTGAATACATATTAACTACATCTTGTGGCAAATGATACCGGCTCTTATATATATATGCTGTAAGGAGTTTTATCAACTGATCCCATTGACTTTTATAGAAGGCAAATCTCATTTACTATCCTAAACAAAAAATAATAAAAAAAAAGTTTCTCATAATCTCGAGCGAGTAGTGGGACAAGTTCAGCATTAGGATTCTAAGAGAAGAGTTTAAACGTGCTGATGATGTTTTGCAGTATGATCACATTAGATTAATCTTATTCTACTAGTTAACAAAACCTTGTCCGTCTGTGTTAAATGTAAGCTATTTGGTTTCATTTCATTTTCAATTTTGTCCTTGCGTCGGATATCAAGTTCATCTAATTATCCTCATTACAATTTTCAAAACAATAAATGAAACAGACGTCAATCCCTCACACAGCGTCTGGCAGTGGTGCATTGGAAACTTCATTGCCGTCAAATTGAGCTTGTTCCATGGCATTTGTCGAAGGATCATATTGTTGGACCACCAAAATGGATGAAGTGGTGGAGAAATCCGACGAGGCTAAATAGCTTCCAAGATGGCCTAGTTCAGGACAGTCAGTACTTTTTTCCGTCAATGGCATTGTTGGGGACATTCGTCCTACCAAAAACAGGCTAGATTTGCTCATTGATCTCAGAGCAGCAATGATGTCTTCTTTGCTTCCCACTATTTTCTCCTCGTGTCCTATTGATTCATTTCTCTTGCTTAAACTAATGAACTCGGACAAAATTTCATTGTCCTTGTCCGATTCAGCTCCAACATCAGCTTTAGAGTCTAGTGACATTCCAGGTTTGGCTGTAAACTTAAGGACAGTGAGCTTGATTCCAGGGTGTTCAGCCATCCTCATTCCGTAAGCAAGTGCTTCACGATCATCTTGACCCCCAGAGAAAGGTACCACCACCGAGTAGGACACTTCACTAGCAACCACTTGGGTGGTGCCTCCCAGGCCACGGTCTACAAGAATTCCCACGGTGCAAGGGGCGTGTCGAAGGACTCGCTGGTTCACTAGATGAAATGAGTGTCCTAAAGACTCCATCGATCCATCTAATCTTTGGTGCTTGTGGAATGGCATTAGAATTAGGGCAGCTCGCTTTCGGTCTGCGCTGGTGCAAATATCTTCATGGATAGTATTCAAAGCTGATATTGCTGTCATGGGACGGACAGTGACGCTACTGAGCTGCTGATAGGCCTCAAATGCAATGACCATTTGATCTTGATCCTGACGTTTCTTGTTCCAAAAGGGTCGACCATTTTTGCGGGCTTTATGAATCATTGTAATGGCTGATGATCGTTCCGAAAGTTCCATAAGATGCATGGCATATACACAGAGGTGTCCCTTTTTTCGAATCCCTCGAGATGACTCTATCAGATTGATCAGGGTAGGAATGTTACGAGTACTGTGAAAACAAGCAAGGATTCGGAGCTCCGTATCACAGTCTTTGCGCTGAATTGTTCGATGCTTGTAAGGCTCTCCCTTTCTAGCAGGCTTGTAAATAGCCATCACAATTGGGGTCGTGATGAAGGTAGTGAATAATGCCATTAGAACTAAGATAGCAAAAGATTGGTCGTTTAGCACCTACAATGGAACAATGCACGCGGTTGGTTTGCACTATAGTTAAATACTTTAAGTTATGGTGCATTTCAAGAGAAAGTAATGTCGAAGAATATGTACCTTGCGGTCCTTGCCTATATTGAGGACGATGAGTTCCACCAGGCCTTTTGTGTTCATGAGGAATCCAAGTGTCAAAGCTTCCCTGAAAGGCACCTTGAACAACATTGATACACCAATTGTACCAACAATCTTCCCAAAACAAGCATTGAATATAACAAGCACTAGCAATCCCCATGACTGTCCCCCTTTAATAGTTGCAACATTGGTTTTCAATCCACTAGATGCAAAGTAAAGCGGCAAGAAAAGCCCTGAAACTAGATCTTCTATCTTCTCTATCAACACGCTGGCGAAAGGACCATCTTTAGGTACTATTATGCCCACCACAAAAGCCCCAAAGAGTGCATGAATGCCAATAGTATCCGTGACAAAACCAGCAGCCAACACTAGTGACAGTGTGATACAAATGTAGAGCTCCTTCACTGGCTCACCATCAAGACAACGCCTAGCCATCAATGTAAGAATCGGTTTCAATAAGAAAATGGCAAATAACACGAAAGCTGATCCACAAAGCAGCACCCATACAGAGACGAGAGGAGAATTGTTGGATCCTGTGAGTGCAATCGCAAGTGCAAGAAGTATCCAGGCAACAACATCATTGACAGCTGCTGCCGACATGGCTATGCGGCCAACATCGGTGGTGAGAAGTTTGAGCTCAGCGAGGATACGAGCAAGTACAGGAAAGGCCGTTATAGAGAGAGCAACCCCCATGAAGACAAGAAAAGCTATCTCACCAACTCCTTTATTGATGGTAGAACGAAGAACAAATGATGTACCAATGCCGAGAACAAATGGGAGACTGATCCCTGCAGCGGCTATTCCCAAGGCCTTTTTGCCAGTGCGACGAATTGCACGGATGTCAAGCTCAAGACCCACCAGAAACAAGAAGAAGAGAAGGCCAATGTTGGCTAAGGTGTCCAACACGGTCATGCTTCTTTTTGGGAAAATTTTGTTAATAAACTCCTTGTTTCTTCCCAAGGCAGAAGGACCAAGCAAAATTCCTCCCTGGTAAAATAAAAAACTAATGAATAAGTCACATGCATGTATATCATCAGTAGTGAAACAAACCAATTCATGTTGCCTTTCATTTGCTTAACAATTATGTTCATTAAAATCAACAATTTCTTAATATAAATAACATCTAAATTCAATTTGTATATATAAGAACTTACCCCTTTTAATTGTTCTAGTTACATAGTCAAGACATTGATCCCCTTCATCTTCTTTTAAGAAACAAAAAGCTGAAAATGAAGATGAAAATTTGGGAAACATGCCGACTAAAGAGATAAATAGCAGAACTCACAATGATCTCCGCAATGACTCTAGGTTGCCTTAGAGGTCGAAGAATGAAAGCAAGGACTCTGGTTAAAGTGACCACCAAAATTATCTGAACAATAAGCAATGGTAGGGCAAAATCGAGTGGATTTTCATTCTGGAAAGCTCCATTGGATGTTGCCTTCATTGGTGCAGGGCAAACAGGGGCACCAGTGCCATTGTTGGTAGCCATTTTGAAACCATGCAAAAGCGAACTGGCTAACAAAGAAAAAGAGGAACCAAGGCCTAGACCCTTTGCTTATTCAATGTCATTAATATTTTGCATGCATGAAAATTCGAACTTTTTGTCTGTGAAAGACAACTAATAAAAGTTGTGTTGCACTGATTATCTATATATGTAAATTAAGACATGGAAACCAGAACACCCCGTTAAAGGAGATCGTTAAGGAGATTAGAACACTTTAACGCTATTTCTGCCCAACTCTTCCGTTACAAACTCAGCAAAATATGGAAATGGAGTCCAGCTTTGAACAGTACTGATGACTATATATAGTATATTTTCTTGGTCAAAGCTTGTTATGAATCCAGAATTTCTTCTTTGTTGTCCTCTATTTACCATATATGTTAGCATCCCATTTTTTTTTATTATATAAGATGATAGCATGAAACTCACAATTTCCTGATAGTTGATCTTCTTACCAGGCTGCTGGGATTTTGAATTTATGTAATGATATAAAAAGTTCCAAATTTACCTCCAATTTCTTATGTAATCCGGTGGCCAAAATGGAAATCTCATTTGATTTTAGAAAACGCAATTTGAGAGATCAAGTTATGCTGGAAAGCGAGAGAAGTTTTGATGGCAATGGGATTGAAGTTTTTGTTCTTTTGTTGGCATTATAGCATACCACAATTCACAATGTTTGTGTAGACAAAAATGAAGTTTGGCTTACAAATAAAAAACAAAAATGAAGTCTGGCTTACAAATGAAAAACAAAACGAAAAAAGGGTTCAACTCCCCCATCTCTTTGCTAACATGCACTTGTATATTCCAACACCCCCTCAGCCCCACATCACTTCCCCCATAAAACTTTCCTTCTTTCTTATTCTTTTAAATACTCTTCTTAAAAAATTGTAACAAAATCCTGTATTCTGTATCCACTTCTGTTTGGTTGAGAACCTTGCAAGAATTGGCATGCCTTGGGATATCCAGCTTTCTTATCGATATCCTGCTGGCCGGTTTTACACACTTTTAAGCTCTAACACAGTTTTCTGAAACTCAATCCTTTGCTAGAAGCTAAAATGTTGATTCATGTACATTTGCTCTGGACACTTCAGCTCTTGGACTGCAGCATGCTATGTATGCTAGTTTATAGCTCTTCACTTGGTTCTTATCAAACATTCTGGTGGTACTCCATACTCCTTTTTAAGGTGAGCAAGTTGCCGCCTCCAAGGGTCATTATGTAACTTGTAGTGCAGAACCTAGTTAACAGCAATAACAGGTTAGCATGATATGCATACAAACAAGCAAAACACAAATATGTCCTTATGGATTAAGATAATCTAAACAGCGTTGACACCCAAGGTCAAGAAGTGTAATCGAGAGCGCATGCAACACTTCAAAACATACATATTGAAACATGCCTTAATCGTTCTCTGGTGGTCAAACTGCATATTCAAACTTCAGAGAACAGAACACTGCAGAGATTTAACCGTAGTGACCATTCAAGGACACAAGATATCATCTCTGAAGAGTTGCCCTGCATATTTTGAACCCTGAGCCCCACCAAACACTCAACTACCAGACCATGCATAAGAAAAAGTGATTCTAGAATTTTAAATAAACAGATCTGGTTATTATTTAAACATTCCACAGAATCCGCAACCCTGCACAAATGAAAGCAGAAGTTGTTGCTGCTATAAGAACTAAGTCTGAAGAATAATTTTGGTTGACAGTGTAAATTTATAAGTGTCAAGGGGACAATATAAACTTGAACAGGAAGAGAGAGATTTCAAACTTTGATATGAAGAAAACTACAAAACTGTCTAAACCAAATTTGCTTAGATGTACAGCAACTACTCAGAAAGACACTAAAGCAGTTTTTAAAACTCAAGGGAAATAACATAAATATATAAGAGTGCCATTGAGGAGAAATAAAATTAGAACTCTAGTATGCTATTAAAGGACTTAATTTTCAGTCCGCCATCACTAGTGACAATGGCACCCCTTTCCATTACTTGATTATTCACTTTGCTCCAAGGATAAATGTGAAATGCTCCAGGGAAAGCATCTGCTAATTTCCAATTTTTAACAGATATCCTAAAAAGTCTAAAACAATTTTAACCGTTATGATCAGACCACGTCCAGTTTCATCTGCCCGGATACCTTAATATTATATTACTTAATAGATATTACTAAAAGCTTATATAAATACTGAACTTCACTTACATCATAACAGTCCATTTCTTGAGACAGCCAAAATGATTTTAGTGTTTGGCCAAGAACTTCATAAAAATTTCATGCTCTTGGATCTTACTATGAATGAGTTTGCTAAAGATTCCTTAGATTCAACCCTCAAGTATCAATAAGCTCACATTCTACAGAGAAATAAGTGTTGTAGGGAAATAAATTCTACAAATATGTTGAGAAGGTTCTTCTGTAAGCAAAAGTATTAGATAGTTCTTTCCATTCGGTCTCTCTACTAAAACTACTCAAAGAATAAACCTAATTCCGGGAACAGACGTTGCATATTGGAAATATACTCAGATGTACTGCAATCTGGAATAGTTAACATCAATTTCACTTGTTTCATAGCATAGGTTTTGGGGATAAAAATGCTTTATATTCAGTACAGAAGGAAGAATACCTGTAAAAATGTTGTAAAGACGTCATCTTCAGTTTGTTGCAAGAATTGAACCGCCCAATCCTCCACTCGGCCAAAAAGAGTTTTTTGCCTTTCAGCTTCTAGCAAAATAGAATTGCGATAGAGGAACCTCTGCCATATTTTCTGTACATTGGTCAACTTGAATTCTATTTCTGTTTCATTGATTCCCTGCAAGACATAAAGGCCACCATACAATCAGCTAAATACGAAAAAAAAATTCATCTTTTTACGTTCCAGTTAATAAGAGACACCTAAAGAGACAATACCCGTAGAATCTTTATCAAATTTGGAATTTCGTCTTCATGTATTCTAACAGCAAAGCTCTCATAGTTGAGCACATTCTCGTAAGGCAGGAAGATCCCATCCTATAAATGAGGAGATGCCAAATAAAAAAGGAACAAACCAGAAAAAAAAATGATCAAACATGCAATTCTTTTAAGGTAAAGATAGAAGTTAGAAGTCCAAAATGTCAAATAACCCTAGAACTGGAGGGGAAAACATTCAAGTGTGTTTGCGACATAATGATCTGAAAAATGGCCATTGAATTCAATCATTCAAAGTATTAAACTATCAATGCACACTCCTCTGAAGCCTAAATGCGAAGCCATAACTCACCCTAATGGTTAAGGTGTTAAAGACAACTAGATAAGGGTGATAAAGAAAATTTTCTTGTCCCAGTGGTATTAGCCACTTCAATAAGTTAGATACCTACTTCATAATCAGAACAAGTTATCCTTTTCTCTTATACTTATATACTTTTCAGAAAGCATATTTCAGGAACTCAAATGTGGCTTGCTCTCGAAGTGCCTAAGAATTGTTATAAAAAATCTTATTCAGAGGTAAAAGGATGAAAGTTCGACTCCAACAACTTACAAGCACTTTATCAATGTTTATAGCAAATCTTGGCCAATGTTTGCAGCACCATGCATTTTTCTCATTTGAAATTAGTCTTGAGAGAATGAAAGCCTACCAAATTCAGGGATGTGGGCTCATGCAAATTACCATTTCTTGATAATTAATGTCAATTTTTAAATTATCATTGTCAATCAAACAGTGAAATCATTGATCTCAGAAAAATAGGTTATTTATATATGAGTTTTCAAATTGCATCTTTGGTGAGCCACATTCCTCCAGCAACCATGTTTCATTAACAGAACATAAACCAAAAGCTCTTGAGCCGCCACTTGGTGAGAAAGCCAATAGTCTGAAAATAGCTCATTTATATGAGGTCTTTTAAAAAAAAGGGAAACCAAGCTCACATCTAATAAGGCCTATATAGAATAAAGTTCTGTTTTCTAAATATCTACCTAACAGAGCCAAATGTCCTTAAGCACTGCCTTCCAAAAGGATAACTTAAGTTGCACCCTTTTAAATGCAATGAATTTTGAATTAGAAGTTTTATATTTTATATTGCCAAATATTTTGAGGTGCAAAGCAGAAAGGTGAAGCCATAATTCACCAAAATATGACAATTGCTTATAACGTATGCAGAACATCATTTGCCACTCCAACATAGGAAGTAATCCAAGTCTCACTATGTTTTCAAAGAATTATATGCTTCAAGCTATAAAATGCTTCTCTAAACCCGTAAGCTGGCAAGATCAGGTAGCTATGTGAGGAACAACATGCATTAATGCAGTACCTGAATAACCACAGGAATGCATCCTTGCAAAACACTGTCTTCCATGCGACCACTCCAACCATCTCCAGGCAGCACACCGCAGAAAGTAGAATTGGCTATATCCTCATGATAGTTATTAGAACGAAGAGGAGTCACAATCACATCTTCTGCATGCTGTTTCCCTAGTTTTCCCTCCTTGTTAGGGGTTGATCCAAACTCATCTGCCAGTTTCTGTCTGATCCCCATGCTATACCTGCATGAACACCAACAAACCATCCATAGGTAATTGCCAAGATTTGAAACTTATTAAATGCATATCAGCTGCCATGTGATAACTGAAAACCAACCATTAAACTATGATGGCAGCCTGATCAGTCAACATGTTTCTTAATAACGACACCAAAGGCAAAGACTAATAAAGTTGATTAAATACCATTCTTAAAACACCAGAAAATGGCCCATTTTAGATAATGAATATGTAAGAGATGGAACAAAGAAAGACTAAGCTACCAAAAAGAAAGGTGCAGATTGTGATCCTATGTGCAGATTGTCTATATTTGCTTTAAATATCCCCAATCAAAATTTATCCATATGAACATGTAGTCAACTTACGTAGTTTCTGGTCTTCCACTTGTAAAAGCTGGTCCTAGATTTCCATTGAAGTAAAATAGCATCTTCCGCTTCTCACGAGGCCTGAAAATAAATAATCAAAGAATTTTGTTTTCCTTAGAACCTATGTGAAGGTGTTTCAAATTGAGAAACACAAGTATTGCATATGAATACATATATAGATATATGTATATATATGACAGGTACCTAGACCACAGTTTGGCACTCAAGGCAGTAACATCAGGACGTTTCCAAGCAGGAAGAACAAGATCTTTCGCAGGATCGAAACAAGGATGGTTCCCTCTTCTATCAGATGGAATCGTGTCCCAGTTGTCAGCCCAGTAGGCAGTTGTTGAGTGGTTGTGCTTAGAATTTGTATTACCCCAATGAACCAACATCATGCTATTCCATATCTCCTTAGGGGCATAGCAAGCACCTTCATCCCATGAAAAAGACTGCCTTCAGATATAGAGGAGGACATAATTAGCATACATACTGTAAAAATCTACACACAGAAAATGCTCGCATATGGATAGACAGACACACACATACACACATATACAGAGAGAGAATCAGCAACCATTCTCTTCAAATTTCTATATAATCATTAAATGAAACATTTCATATCATACCCAAACATGGTCTCTTCCTGCTGAGCGGTTCCAATAAGCATATTTCTCAACAATGTGATCATATGCCTTCCTATAAAATTCCAAAGTGAGAGAGCTCCTCAGGCCAGTATGATTCTGAAATTAGCGAGTAATAAGCACATAAATATGTGGCTTGTGGGCTCAAATAAAAATAAATAAAGCCATGTAGATGTTTGCGCGTGAAACAAAATAGTGCTGCCCTTTCGTTGCTCTGCAAGGGCAGACTAAGGAAGGAACATATAAAGCATAATGAAAATACTTTTCTGAGAGGTGAAGAGATGATACTGATTTTGAAAATTACTAGATCTTAGACCCATAAAAACATTGAGTAGGCCAAAGCCAAATGTAAAATTTTTGTTAGAAAGAAAGGTAAGTTACAAAGCATCAACTATGCTGCACAATTGACTCAGCTGTGTCTCAATTTAAAAAATTCATTTAAAAGAAAGAAAAAAAGAACTTGCTAAATGACCCTTCTATTGGTATATCTACAGACTTCCTCTCAAGAAGAATCACATCGTAGTCCTATAGTTTTAGTTGAAAATCCTAAAGAGGATATGAACATTGAACAAAGCCCCAAAAACAGAAAGCAATAGAGATTCTGCTAATCCATTATGCAATAAGTTCTTTTAAGCATAGTAGAATACAGACTGAAATATAACAACTTATGAAGTTTACCTCCATGCTCAAATGGGGTGCATCATCAGCACGTGTTATGATGCAAGAATCCAGAACAGGAACAAAGAAAAAATCTGCTTCTTCACCATTTAATGTTCGATATGGACTAGCTAAAACACTCTCATAGAGTGCCATCTGGAAATTTATAGCATCAAGAAAATTTCTAAGCAATGCTTCAGGTTATAAGTTGCTTTGCATTGATACTAGTTTGAACAATACCTGGGAGCCATACAACTGATCTGTCCACAATGTTGCATTCCTGTCATCATAGATTCTGTTTACGCACTCAAACCTAAAATGTCGTCCCTACAATGGCCATTAAGTGAAAACATAAGAACCTTTTCCTAATAGTATCAGATATAAAAATATTGCTCATTCTTACCTCCAGAAGTAAACTGTTGAACTCTGGGGGTAAGTCATATACATAGATAAGGGGCCTTTTCTTTTTCACTGCAGCATTGAGATTGACAAGGTTTCCTGTGAGTTCAACACTAGGAATATCAACCTGAGCAGGACGGAGCCACTTAGGCCACTCTCCCATAGGAGATACAACTGAAGGAATACTGCAGTCTGTCCCATACCAACCATTATGGCACTGAAAATAAAATTGATTTAGTTTTGAATGCAGTAAAGAAAGACGCAAGTTAAGCCAAATATTTCCAATGTAAGGAGTGGTTAACTCAAACTAATAGAAAAATACTCATGGCCAAAAATTCATAAGTATTGAATGATGTAAATCTCTCTAACTAATGGAACAATCCTCATGGGCAAAAACTCATGTTTAAACCACATAGAGAAAATGTAATTGCCCAAATCAAAAAGGAGTACAGTGCAATGTAACGTTTAAATATGCTCCTAAAATTTCCAAACTATTCCAAAATTCCAAAAACACTTATGAAGATTGTTGTTATTATTAGCCTTCCAACAAATCATAGTAGTCCCTTAGTTTTGTGCTATTCCAAAAGTGGATAATTGTTTTTATGCTCATCTATTATTGCTGATCATATATCTTTGCCTTAAAAAGAATGTAGGTGGAAGGAAGATTGGCGACCAATTTTTTCCTTTCAAAGGCAAATAAGTCCCACTATTAATAGAAACAAACAGACTATTAAAGCTATTACCTGGCAAAACCCACCACGGCAATGGCCATGTCCAGAGCATTGATTGATACAAACACTTTCAACAGGCACTTCACAGAAACGTCCCCAAAGACCATCATATTTGCAGTCACATTCCTCTTTAAAGAGCACTTTTGAAGCATATGCTGCATCTGGGTCTACATTACACCACCCTGGTTTGCTACCATTTGTTGTAAAAATATTATCTAGGTCAGCTTTTGACCAGTCGGCAAGTTTGGGACCTCCAGGTTCAGAAGGTAAGCTGAAATAGATGCAACACAAGGACTGTGGCTCGTGATGTTCAGGATAGAAGAGAAATACCATAAAGCACATGCTAGGAATCTGACTATACTTACTTGATTTGAAACCCGCATGCCTCTGCCATAGGACGATTTGGATATTTTGTGCCTTCTCCACAAAAGCACATAGCTCTGGTAGTGTCACAATGAGCAGAACATATTGAGACAACCCATCGCCCATATGGTAGCTCAGGTGTTTTAGGGTAATTGCAACTCAAATGTACCCTCTCAGAGCATTCTTCTCCTGTTCGATCAGATAGGTTATTTAGCCAAGAATCGTGATTGCCATATCCTATTATTTTAGGAATTTGTTCTCAAGTTAAAGTAAAATGCTTCCAATTTTTAACAACACTTAAAATTATTTATTGCACCATAATCAACCTAAATCTGCCACTGGCATTTAAATTGGTTATATTTCAAATTCATTTTCTTTAATTGATCATCCTAGAGATGGATAAAACATACAGTTGCACTGTCCAAGTATTGCATGGTGTCTTATGTCCAATTTTCTAGAAGCTAGGAGCAGTAACTACTAGTAGTGGGACAGGACTATTTATTTCTTCATAATAAGTAGTACTCTGTTAAGAACGGTATCAAATAGAAGGAAAGCACCAAAAAGTATTTACCATGTCAAGTCCTCTGTATTTTATCATTTTTAGAAGTCTAAAATAGTCCACTGCATTTCATCAAGTTTTTACGTTATCAGTGTTTGCAATGAATAAGGCTTTGCTTTCAGTGAAGCTTCTTATAGAAGTTTAATTGAAATGAAATCAATGAAAGGAGAAAAGTATTTACCACTAAATCCATGAAAGCATCTGCATTGGCCCATTTCATGATTGCAAACACCTTGACCGCTGCAGTCACCTTTGCAGCGCCTACCACCTATTGTCTGCCAAAAGGAACATTGTTATGGCGTGAAAGTCGAGATGATATTGATGCAACCTTAAATAGTTGTCGCATAGGTAGAAGTAATTAAGCAACATATACATCCACCTGAGTGTAGCAAATATAAACTTTCTAAGAGTAGAAGTATTAAATTAAAGTAGCCACTGACACACAGAGATCAAGGAGAAGGGAGAAGGGGGCTGCTTGGAAGACGAGAAGGATAAATGATGATAAAAAATCATCATAATTACCTCAACAATATTGACTTCCCTAGCAATTGCATCACAACCAGAAAGCCACTGCCCAATTTCTGCCTTCCATGGTGCATTATGATAAACAACTCCATTATGCAAGTCAGAAGGAAACCTGTGATCTAAATCAAGACCTGGTTGTATATTTTCCCAAACATGGTCAGCACCCTTTTCAGCTGATGCATTAATAGGAACACATTTGTACTGAACTTGCGGGGCACTGAAGTAATCAAAAGAAGGGACAACTGGAAACAGGAATAGATGAACTACTGAAACTAGCACTATAACAGAAGCAACTGTAGCCACCAGAGACCATGAACATTTCCACTTCTGAACAGAAAACATCATCTCAAGCAGCTCTTGTACTACAAATTGAGAACCAAATCACCAAACAGCAAGTTTCATAAGAAAAATTGTTGTTTATTTACCCCACACTCTATTCCAAGCACCTACAGCAGCAATCAGGAAGCAATATTAGGAAACAAGCACAATAATCTTATGCTTCATTTGGAAATGATTAATCAGAATTGGATTTGATTCATTTTACAAATCATAAGAATGAATGTAATCATAATTGTATCCGAAAATCACTTTTTATTTAGGCATTTCGAATTCACTACTCATAGAAATGTAACAAGTCCATGAATTTGAGTGTAATCATAAAACTCAAAATGCTGAAATACATTACCACAAAATTTATACAACATTTGACATCCGAATCCCTCCTTTCCAATTAAATTCTCAAAGGCAACCTTAAAATATTTTCAAAATTACAGTTTTCAACCCCAAAAACCCTACTGTAAATTGTTGATATAAGCAAACAGAAATTCATAATTCATACAACCTTAAACAAAAAAATGTTTTTTTTTAAAAAAAAATACTTCAAACTAGAAGCAAAGAAAGCCAAACAAATTCTAGCATTAAAACCGTTAATTTCTCATCATAACTAACAACAGGATAAATCATTCACCACAACTGGTAGGAGAAAAGTAGAACTCTTTTGAATAAATATAGAATTTTGATGATCAAACAGCAATGGCTGACCTTTAACCAGATCTGGGGTTGCAGCTTTTGACAAAGAAGACACAAAAAAATTAGTAGGAAAAAGTTTAAGGAAATAAGACAGAGAATTTGGCACTACAATAATGATTGTATCTAATAAAATTAATGAGGTTCAAAGAGAGAGTTTACCAGTTTGGCAAGGTGCTGCTTTGGAGATTCCCAGTAAACCCAGAATTTAAAAAAGGATTAATTTGTAATAAATTGTTAAGATTTAAAAGGACATAAGACTTTGGCAGCTAATCATAGGAGAGTCAATCATTAGATTACGAAAGCCGCCAAGGCTCTCGCTGGGGAAGTTTGAATGCTGGCATTTAGCTGTTAAAATTACTGTAAATACCCTTGCCCGCTTTGCTAATGACTGCCTGAAACTTGCCTGTTTTGGAAGAGAAAGCCGTTAGCGAATCAAGGCTAATTCTGTCATTTCACACCAACACTGTGTTGTCTATGAATTTTGTTAAAGGAAATACTAGATAAAAAAAAAAAATTGCCCAAAAAGATTGTATGTACGTGAAGTTAACAAGTTTATATCGGGGACCACTAAAAAGATTAATAATATTTTTATTAAAAGGAAGAAATTAAAAGCTTCACAATCAAAAAAGGACTTAGATAAAAAAAATTGGTTCAAATGGCATCAATTATTAGACACGTGTGAAATAATTGAGGGGGTCTCTTTTTTTTTTTTCTTTTTTCAAAAAAGAAAAAATTGTATCTATTGCTATTAAAAGTAAATTTTTATTTTTATTTATGTTTCTTAGCGGAAGAAAATTTTAAAAATGTAAAAATTATTAGTTTTATCAAAATAAAAATAATGTGTGATTAATGCTATGTTAATAATTTTATATAGGTGTCTTTTTCTCATTGAAAAGTTCGGAAAAGGATAAGCAGTATACACTTTGTCTCAAAATATAAGAATTTTTGTTCAAGAAAAAGGTGCTCCTAAATACTACTAAATCAAACCCTCATTTTATTTCTGTTTTTTCAGTTACAAGTAACTAGATGCAATCTTCCCATTTTTCAAATTAATTAATTTTACCAAAAATAAAAAATACTTTTCCTTGAACATAGGAAGGTTTTCATGTGGAAAGAATCGAGAAAATAGTATTGATTATTAGGATGACCGTATTTTTTTGCTTGATGTGATGATTAATTTTAATTCCCATATACTCTTTCAATAATATTTTTCTGATTCTTTCCATATATATATATATAATATTGACCGTGAATTATGTTTTATCGCCCTTAAGATGTGAACTGCGTGGCTTGTAAAACAAAGGAAAGCGCATGGTGCCATGGTGTGAGTCTAACTCTTCAGCCTCCAATTTCCATTACCATGAATATGATGTAAAAATCTACATTATTTTTTGTCGTATTTAGCATATATATCAAATTCCTTTTCGATCAGATCCAATCAGGTCCCATAGACAATCATTTATTTAATTTATTGTACTTATTTACAGGGCAGCATGTCAGTTGTTCATCCACGTTTTACATAATTTTTGGAAGTCATAAGGTTCAGCTGGCTTCATTGGCATTTCTCTCACATTAAAGAAGGGAAAATATTTGATGCATCCATAATATAAAGTTTTTATATATTATCAAATCATTAAATTTAATATTTCATTAAGTATTATTTTGAAATAAATAAAAAATTGATATTAAAATATAATATTATTTTGGGACTTTATTAATTTTTTAAAAAAAACTATTTTATTAATGAAATTTGATGACCTCATCATTTATATAAGTTATACATTATTAGTAAATCAAATATTTATAACCATATAGAAAGGAAGCCTCATGAAGGCTTCAAAATTGTGACATGTCAAGCCTTTTGATTTTGCTCCACCTTGATTTTTCATCATTTGACATGTGGCTATTTTCTGCTATGAGTTTTAGATCCATAGAGCGCAGTTCATCTCTCAAACTATTTTTTATCTTAGATTATTAGACTACTTGACCTGACGAAAAAGAAGGAAAGTAAAGCTTAATGCTCCTAACCTGTAAGAATATGATATAGGACTCTGACAAGCACTACAGTCTCTTGCATACTTGTCATCAAGAAAGAGTAGGTGTTCATGACTTGGATGCCACAAGGTGTCTGATAGCAAACTACATGCAATGTCAACAATAAAGTCACAGTATTTTTTGTCGCATTTATAGCTAAATCCATGGTGATGTCGATGGCAAGCCCAACAACATGCAAGTGTCACGGGCCACATGTCACGGGCCACAGCCCAGACCTGCCAAGAGGCCCAAGAGGGTGCCAGCCCACCAAGACCCATGTAGGGTGCCAGCCCACCAAGACCCATGTAGGGATTTCCCTCCCAAATGAGCTTCTAGAAACCTTAGTTTCCCTCCCAAATGGTTTTGGAGGGAAATCCTTTGGAGGGAAAATTTTGGAGGGAAATGGGTGGGGAACCTTGGCTATAAATAACCCCATCCTCCTTGTATAAATCATCCAACACACTTGTATCTCAATTCATTCAATACAAGCTTAGTTTTTCTCTCTAGCATTCTCTTCCCATTTTTCCTTCCTCGTTTATGCAAACTTGCTTGCCGGCTTAAAGCCATTGTGTGGGTGTTGAGTGCTTGTTGGGCGAGTGCTGAAGCACTAAGGCTGACTTGGGTTCTAAGTGTCGAGATAAGGGTTGAGCCTAAGGCCGCACGGAAGGTGGTCGTAAGTATCGCCCCGTGACACAAGCTCATCCTTAATAAGTGTAAGTAGGTGAGTGTGACTTAGGTGTTGCTTTTGTATAGGCAACTCAGTGCAGCTCATGTGGAGGAAAAACTCACCTTGCTCACAACTATTATAAGGGGCTGATATGGGCCTCATACACCCATCACAGTTGTTAACATCTTGGACTTCACCGCTAAAAGTGAGAATTAAATCATGTTCATGGTAGGCATGTTTGATCTCTGTTGCTAATACATCTTCTCTCACACTTATTTTTTTAAGAACAGTGATCAAATTTATAGATTCTTGTAGTGCTTCATCTTTGTCTTCCACCCAAGGTGTTCCACCCCAAATACTTGTATCGGTTGCACATCGCACATGAGCAATATAATTGCAGTCGAAAACAGAACAAGAGTAACTCCCATGATCTAAATTCAGACAAATTCTGCACTCCCATGCGTTAGACTGACTTTTTTGAAGATAATAGTGGTGAGAAAGATGGTGATGATGTCGTGTTATTTTGATGGTGTGTGGTAATGTCGATGAAATGCAACCCTTATGAACCATAAGGTCACATGTAGTACAGATATAAGGATTGCGGCCTCCATCAATACCACAAAAATCACAAATGAATTTGATTTTCCTCTTTACGAGTGTAAATGGGTGTTCATGACTTGTAACTGTAACCATGCGCGGGGGAAAGGCATCTGCAACCGTAATTCCCAACTTGCAAATAGAGCAGTGATAAACAAATCCCTTGAATGTTAGTTTGCACAAATAGCCAGAACATTTCCCTGGATGAGTTGATGGATCTGCCAAGAGTGTTAGAGGCTGCTTGCGGCGGTAGGGGTGAGTAATCTCAAGGGGCAGCTCAGCACATTCCTTATGAAGGTGAAAGTAGCAATCCAAATATCTGTAAATCGGAAATGATAATGGTTCCTTACATCCGATGCAATCCCCACGGTCTTTCCTGTTGTGCTTTTCAATATAGATCAATGGATACTTGTGGATAAAACGTTCACGAGTGTCGGAAAGTTTCCAACCATAGATAGTTGAAACAAAGCACAATTGACGTCAAGATTGAAATTACAAAGAGCACAGTGATAACCAAATCCCCGACGACCCATGTGACAAAACCAACATAGGAATATACCAACACGATGTGGTGGTTTTGGTAGAAGAATGAAAGGGTGTTTGGGGTGAAAAGGATGATTAATCTCGAGGGCTAACTCAAACTCCGCGCATGTTTTGTGAAGATAAAACCGGCAGTCGGTGCAGCAGTAGCTAGGACCCTCAACTCGATCCTCACATAGACAGCAATATGCTGCTTCTTCTTCTTCTTCACCAGAGGATGAATCTGCAGTAGGTGCATGAATTTGCTTTTGGATGAACATCAGAGGATGTTCATGGCTAAAATGTTTGAGTTCCATCTCTTTCTTTCCCTCTTTCTACCTATTTTCTTGATTATGAGCCAGATATTGTCTAAAGAAAACCAGGTAATTTTTATCAATAAAATTAGGATAATGTTGGGCCAACTTACAACCATAGTTTCCTCTTCTTTATTTTTGGAAAGAGACCACCATAGCTTCTTTACCCCAAAAGCTCCCACTCCAATAATTCTTTGCAGTTGGTCCTACAAAATTATGAACTGAATATGGAAAATAGACTAACACATAAAAAAGCCTCAAAAATCAAAGAGATCTAATCATCACAATAACTGCATTCCATCTATGAAGAAAACAAGGTAAAAAGCCAACGAAAATTGGAAGCTAATTGATTAAGAATTATACTTGCCACAAACCAGAGGAAGTTATAACAGAAATCAGTAGGGTAAAGCCCGTAAAAGGAAAAGCTTGCGAGAAAGAGAGCCTTGGGTTAAGTGAATAAGCCAGACAATGGAAAGAGCATGAGACTATCATAAAGTGGTGGTAATGGAGAAATTAGCAACATGGAAGGTAAACCTGGGACCTTGACAATTAGAGTCCCAAATACTGTAGCTAGATGTCAAAGCACCAACTGTAAAGCCTCCTTTAAGATATGTTACAGAAAAAAGCCACTTGTACTTCATACTTTCAAGCGAAAAAGAAATTGGCATCCAGTAATCGCTTCATATTTTTTTTTCACTTTAAATGCATCATGTTTGTAGAGTCAATTCCTTCGTTCAAGCATTCAAAGCAATGTCAAACTATAAACTAAATAAATCACTTGATAATTCTATTATTTTGATACATTTTAAGACTTAAGTAGCTAGATCTTTGAGGTTGTAAGTTCAAATTTTAACAGTATAAATTTTTTGTAATTTAAGCTAGATTACATGTTGAATAGTTAATTTAAGTTATTTTAGTATAATTTTACTCTATTTTATTTTAAGAAGAGTTATTGTTGATTTCTCTCTTAGTTTTTTGTAAAATATTTGATGAAAAAGATGCATTAGAGTTAAAATAGCACAAGAATGATAAAGGCTTCATTCGTACATGTTGTTGTATTTCAAAGATAACTTGAGATACAAAAGATCAATTGATACAAGTCTTAATGCATTAGAAAGTTAAGCGAACGGGCTACAACTTTCATGTTTGCTACTTTACCTCGTTCATATTCAATCAAGGTGAAAATCATGTTGGAAGACGATGGATGGATGTAGTTTTGCACAAAGCAGGATGTTGATTGAAGGTAATGGTCTGGAGTTACTCAAGGTTGCGACGTTGAGGGAGTTAAGGCCGCAATGCTAGAAAGATCATGGCTATGGGATAGTTGAGGTGCAATATATAAACTCTATTGGCTAGAGCTTCAGAGCACCACAAATGTAGCCACGATGCCGTCATGCCCAGGAAGCATGGGTGTGACGCCTTCCTATTTTCCAAAAATAAAAGTTTTAATAGAAATGTGGAAATTAGATTAACTTGAACCTACAAAAAATACATTTTTAGAGCATTCAAGAGGAGAAGATGGCAGCAGTTGTTTTGGAAAATTAGAAGAAAATTGGAACTAAGAATTAAGCAAGAAATCGAAAGTAATTGAAAAAGATTCAAGATCCACAAGGCTTTAATATTAGTTTATTTCTCTCTTTTGTGTTATACTTATTTTCTTGTTTTGAATTCATGGTTAAATTTTTTTAGATATTGTTTTATTTAGATATTATAAACTAATTTACTTTCTAGAATTATGGTGGATTTCAATATGTAGTTTGAATATTAGCTTCTTTTTTATTTATCATAAATGGGTATAGTTTTATTTATTCAAATCTGTTCTTAATGCCTTTAATTGACTAATCAACAATTAATTGATGTGTGAACCTAATTGAAACTCAACAGAGAGATTTTAGATTGAGACTAAGATTTAACTAGTATATGTTCACATCACTTAAGGGATTTGATTCGCGATCTGGGTATCTATATGCCAATTGCCATACATAGCTAAATTAAGACACTAGCTTAATGAACTTAATTTAATTGATTTGTATAGACATATAGTGAACTATTTAAGTTAGGTATTTGTGCAAGCGTCCAGACCGAAACTTGTACATAGCTTTGGATTCTATATTAGCAAAACCACCTAAGAAAGATAAATAATAAGAGAAACTAGTATCAAATGAAATGTTGAATGAACCCATAAACCTAAGTATTTAATCTTTTGTCTTTCTCAAGCATATTTAATTTTTGTTTGTTAATTTAGTGTTATTTTAATTTCGTTTTAATTAGTTTTTCTATCATTTCTAGTTGCTTAAATAAGATTGATTTATTATAAAATTTTAATACTTAGTGAAATTATAAAAACAAATTCCTGTGGGAATGATACTTTACTTCTACTATATTACTTGGTTGTGATAACATACACTTGCGTGAAAATTTAACAACATCACTCACCAAGAAGCAACAAGCAAGAATTGGTGGAATTTTATAAAATAAATAAATTGAAACTTATATTGATGATTTCACTGAGGACACTTGTTGAGTTATGGACTAATATCGAAAAGGGATTAATATGTATGAACGGATAGACATTACTCCTTCAACCATAAAAATTTTAGTGTGTTTGCTTTCCCATGGCACACCCCTTATCTGCATCCCTAAGCCGTTAACTTATGTACTACTTAGTTGATGCTTTTTTTGCTTTGAACCAATCTGATGAATGAAACTTCCAATTATCCAAAAGAAACGAAAAACCAAAGGAAAAGCTTATGGATCAACTAAAAATCAAAATAACTATCATCTTCAGTCCAACATATTAGTAATCTTTGTTCTTAAGATCATAATCATATCTGCTAGAACTATAGCATGGCTAGGGGAAACTACTAATTTGATTCAAGTTAGGCATGCAATCATGTTAACATGAGCTATAAATATAAGATTTTATGAAGAAATTACTAGAATCATACAATTAACGATCTTAGCAAAAAATCATGTTTATAGTCATTATCGATTTCTTTCTAAATATAGTCTGTTGTTCATGCTATAAAGCAGTTATCATGTAATCAAAATTATATGAAAAAATAAAAAATATATCATTTTATCAAAGTATCAGAGCATAAATCTTAAGACCTTGTGATTTTTTTTTTGTAAAATAATAGAAAGAAAGGAGAGGAAAACATGAAAGGTTGGAAGAATGGGAAAACAAACACCTTCAGCTAACAAATTCCAAGTAGGAGTAGAGAATTCTCTACTTATAGACTTAACATCCAATCTATCTTAAATGATGAATCAAATGTCAGCAATAGTAAGTCATGAATCCCTTGCTGCATCGATTGACATCAAGCTTGATAATACTAACTATGGACTTTGGTTTTAAGTTGTGGAGATGTATATCTCGGCCAAAGTCAAACTAGGATACATAAATGGAGATCTTCTACAACCACATTAGACAAATCCTACTTTCAAGAAATGAAGGATAAAAAATGCAATAGTGAAGGGTTGGCTAATCAACTCTATGAATCTAAAACTAATTAGCAATTATATTTGATTTCTAACGATGAAAGTAGTTTTAAATGCTATTCTTACGATGTATTTTAATGCAACTAACACTTCACAAGTTTATAATCTCAAAAGAAAGGTGACAAGACTAAAATAAGGTGAAAAATCTATCGAGACATACTACAACAATCTTCAAGGCTTGTGGTGAGAGATTGATTTTGATGACCAAACCCCGACGAAGATAAAGTGAGAATTTGATATACAAAAATATAACTCTATTTTATAAGAAGATAGAGTTTATACCTTTCTAGATGGGCTAGATAATCGACTTAAAAAAATTCAAGGTGATATGCTCTAACTTCAACCATTTCCCATAATAGAACAAGCATCTGCATATGTTTGTCAAGAAGACTTAAGGCAATCTGTGATGTTTACAAAAGGAGATAATATGCACCATTCAATTATGATCTCAAAAAGACAGAAGCCACAATAACAAACTTCACTTCAGTTGGTATTTAATGAAAAATCAAATACATCAACAAAGCCAAGGTCACAAGTAGAAGAAAGAGGTTGAATACATTATAGGAATGTAAAGCACAATAAAGACATCTGTTTCAAGCTACACGGATATCTAGAATGGTGGCATGAACTCAAAGCAGAAAAGAAACATGATGTTGGTCAAGCCTTCTTCATGAACATTGGAGATACTTCAATCGTTGCATCTACTGAACCACAAATTGTCCCTTATACCAAGGAAGGACTTACTATCGACTGCAGCAAACAAAACAATGGCCTTTAATAACCTAGGTAATCAAAGTTGAACTAGTGATTTCGAAGCCATTGATTATATGACATTTGATTCACAAGATTTAATTAAGAAAAGCCATCCAAAACAAACATGCATTAGCAATGCCAATGGAGTAACATACCGGATTACCAGGGCAAGAAAAATGGCACTTTCATTATTTTTTTAACTTTCAAATGCTTTGGTAGTTCTTTCCCTTTCTAATAAACTACTATCATTGGCTAAGTTATCGAAGAATTAAACTGTTGTGCATTAAAGTATCCTAATTTTTTTTTTCAGGATCTTCTTACCAAGAAGATTATTAGTCATGGTCCTAAAAGAGAAGGATTGTATTATATGGATGATCTTAGTCTTGGACAAACAAATGTTGCACATGGAACCAATGACAAGGAAAGACAAATTTAGTTATGGCACTACCGACTAGGACATCCATTCTTTTCACACTTAAGCCTCTTTTCCCAAGTTTGTTTTTAACTTTACATGAATCTTTATTTCATTGTGAAACTTGCATTTTGGGTAAAAGTCACCGTGTTCCATATTCTATTAATTTTAGAAAAATATAAGAAACCTTTTATGATAATCCATTCAAATGTTGGGGGCTAGCCTCTATCATAGTCTTTTTCGGTATTAGATGGTTTGTGATATTTGTAGATGATTGCACACATATGACTTAACTTTATTTGAAGAAGAATAAGAGTGAAATGTTTTCTATTTTTTG